AATAGAAGTCAACTCTTCGACCTTCACCGAGGCGCGGTACGCTTTGTATGACTTAATAGCTTTTATGCTAATGGTGATGACATTATTACGGGAACATCTTTCACAGCATTGTTACAAAAAAAAAAAACAAAGCCCAGTTCATGCAAAAGATACATGTTGAAGTCACCATAGCGTGAACTTTCATTTGCATTTAATCACTTCATAATTTGTCCCAGGCCTCATTATAATATTATGTGTTTTATGCAGATGATCTATGATAATGGGTTTTGTGTTTATATGAACCCATTAGCCTTTGTGAAGGAGAGAATCATGTTCTTGCAAACACACTTACACACAAACAGAGAGCGACGACTCCTGTGTAAAATTAAGCAACGCCGGCGAGGCAGGAGTGAAGGAAGCAGTAGCGATTTCTTATGATTGGAAAAGTAAGGAACTCGAATGAAAGCTACATGAAGGTAACGCAAAGTCCAAAGATGAGATCTGATTAACTCTGGCTCTGCAAAAAGAGTACGGCCCGATCCCAAACCGCCCCCTATACACTCACCCTACACACTCCCCTTCTGTTCACGCGTCTCCGCTGAGGCTCCGCCATATTGAAGGCCGTCTCAAACCACAGAAAGCAAAGGGCAGGTGGACTGTTCAGCCCTCAAATAGCGAGCCTGCACCGATGCACACTCACGGTGGGGTTTGCAGGTGGTGCGCCGGCAAAAATAGAGCAGGAGAAAACAACATGCAGATGTAAGTTCCGTATGTGTCCACCTTTCTCTTACTGACAAAAAATCTCCCAAAAGACGTGGTTTGGAAAGAGGAAATGAAACTAGGAAATCTTACTCTGTGCTGATGTTTGATTTGATTGTGCAGGCACATGTCAAATGGTTATGGGGTTGAAAGACGTGTGAAATCATTATTATTATTATTTTTTTTATTTTATTTCGAACATTATTTAATCAAATAAGACAGTAAAATACAAATCAGGAAGAAAAAGAAAACCAACAACAATGTCCGAAAAGGAGTAGGATGAAGTTTAAAACTTATCGAGCTCCTACCCCCCTTACTTCTTTACTGCATAACAATCAGAAGTATAATTTAGCTCCTGTCACTGTAATGGTTGCTAGATTTATGATTTCGGTGGGACGATGAAAAAACAAGGCAGCCGGTGAGGCTCAGAACTGTACATGATAACATTTACGCTGCCATGCACAGGATGCGTCTTTATGTTGCTATGGTGATGAATCTTTCTGTTGGCGTCCCATACCCGCCCATCTTGTTTATACCCTCCGATTTCAATTGAGGTGCACTCCACAGCTGCGAGTGTAACTTCATTTGGTAGTGAAGGGTGATCGGGCCTACATCTGTCTGTACACTTCTTGTTGTTATTGTTCATCTCTCTCTTTCTGCATCTCTCTCTATCCCCTCTTACATGAGTCTGTTTCTGCTCAAGTTTTCTGCCTGTTAAAGAAAGTTCTTCCTCTCCACTTATCCTGCTTCAAACCCGACTGCTATCTTTAAATCTGTTGTGAAATGCGGTTGAATTACATGCACGAAATAAGAAACGTCCAGTTCATCAACAAAAAGTTCCACCTCCCATTCCGACTGCGCATCATTTATAACAGGAAGTGTGCTGACAAACTTTGCAGCAACAAAAGTTAAATCCATAAAACTTGCACAAACAAACAAACACCCCCGTCAACATCCAAGGGTATCTACCTCTCCCATCAGCAGTGCACAAAGTCGTTTTAGGACAGTAACTCTCCTCTCCTCTCTTTGATGCCACGATTCCTCCCAGGGGAGACGGTCCCTTCCAGGGGGAAGGCGCCAACACCCTGCTGCACTAGTTTCACATCGCTGTATTCCAGCCGGGATTCCGTAGATACAGATTTGTCCATCCCCAAAGGATAGACCGCCGTTAATACGATTACAGAGCTTGAGACTTTAAGATAATTCAAAGCATCTCCACGACTAATTTCAGCAAGGCGGCATGCATGCCACATCCGCTTATATTGTCGCTCCTCGCATGCTAAAGAGAGCATAAGAGTTGACTTATTACCACACAATGCAGACTAAGTGGGAAATCTCTTTGGACATGGCGGCCCACCATATGCTAGATTTAATTCGATTTTCTATTCAGGCTTTAGTAAAGTGCTTCAAAAAAAGTTTCTTGTCCCACGGCGTGAGGGTAAGAGGGCAGCTGTGGCTTTGACTCTGTTTGCTCTTTCAACAAGGGGCAAATAAGCCGCGATTCGGTCGGATACTGAGCGCTTACAGCAACATGGCAGCATTAGCGAGCTTGAGTGTTTCGTGCAAAACTGGATTAAGCCTAATCCTACAGTACATTCATTTCTTTCAATGCAGATCTCTTGTAAATGTGTGTTTTCTGGGACTATAGGCTTAATCCATCCATCTAGAGGCAACTATGAGGACATCTGAGGTGTGCAGATGATTGTTTACTTGACCTTATTTGAGGGATGTAACATTCGCAGCAGTGAAAAAGTATGCTTTGAAACAGGCAATTGAATCTCTTATATCATGATAGTAATCTTTATACACAGTAAAGCATTTTCAATTAAAGATACTATAAAGAGTTTTTTGATGTTTAGGAAACAGACTGAAATTCATACTGATAAATTTTCATGATATCCACAACTCCTCTCTGAATATCTTGAGTGGATTTTGTAAAATCAGGTGTTTCTTCAGTTTCTCGACTTAGACCTACACTGTAAAAACAAAGAGTTGAGGTAACATGTATTTTTTATTTAGTTTGACTTAAGATTGTTGTATGTGTTGTGATAACTCAATATTTCATGTCAATGTCATGCTAACGAATGAATAGTTTTTCCAACTTAAATGTATGATTTAGGTGAAACTAAAAACATCAGTCCTCACATTGACTTCTCTCATTGGCTGTTGAGTTTACAATAAGACAAACACAAGTGAGAAGATTTTCCAGTTAGGGATTTATTACATACATTAACATTAATTTCAGTTTATTTTATGAACATCAAAAAACTCCTCATAGTAGCTTTAAAATAGGTTGTAGTTCAGCATTTAAGACTGTCTGCGTGAAAGAGTCTGAGCAAAAAATAAATAAAAAACTCAAAAGATATATTCTCTTCAATATTTCCAGTCAAAGTATTCTTGCTACTATTTTTGGCAGAAATATTTGCAACCGTATCATTTTATTATTTCTTGGTATAATCTTGTAGTTAGGGCTGGGTGATATATATTTTTTTCATATCAGTCGATACCGGTATATATCACAATATAAACGTGAAATTTAACAGTGCTTATTGGTAGCATGTCTTTTGCAGTATAATAAGCTACTGCATCTGTGAGGTCTTTGTGTCTCTTGGACTAGAGAAAGCAGACTGAATGGTCGGCTGTTTTCGGTGTTAAAGTTTGATAGTTGCGTGTAGCCCCAGCCTGCTACTACACAGTTGTTTGCTACTTAGTTCTAATTCAGTACATGATTGGTTCAGTGCAAAGCGGACCCAAAGAAACTCCCCTTTTCATTTGCTATTCATCTAGTCTACCAAAATATGGCAGAATGCCGACTATTGAAAAGCATATTCACCATGTTCTATATTGATAGCGAGGGAAATTAATTTTTGATATATATCATTATTGTTTTATCGCCCAGCCCTACTTGTAGTTAAAGCATTAATATAAACAAAGTTACAGCTTTGTATACATCACTGGGAATCTTTAAGGGTGTAAACAGTTGAGCAAACACTAAGTATCACATCATCAAATGAAAGCTAGGTTTTGGTTTCGCTTTGGACTAAACTATGGCAATCGAGTCAGACATGCTTGTAGTTTTTGGAGGTTAATTTGTGCCGTTTTGGATTTACCTTTTTTTGTTTTGTTTTGTTTTTTTGTCCAGGTGCCTTCATATAAACAAAATTACAGTTTTGTGAAACATTACTGGGAATCTTTAGGGGTGTAAACAGATGAGCAAACGCTAATTATCACATCATCAAATGTAAGCTAGGTTTTGCTTTTGCCTAAGCTCAGACGATTTATGCGGACATGCTTGTAGTTTTTGTAGGCTATTTTGTGTCATTTTGGATATATATCCATTTTTTATCCAGGTGCCTTCATACAAACAAAGTTTCAGATATTTGAAACATTACTGGGAATCTTCACAAGTGTAAACAGATGAGTAAACACTAATTATCACATTGCCAAATATAAGCTAGGTTTTGGTTTTGCTTAAGCCTAAACCTGGGCAATTTAGCCGGACATGCTTGTAGTTTTTGTAGACTTTTTTGTTTCGTTTTGGATTTACCTACATTTTTTTTTTCTCTAGGTGCCTTCATACAAACAAAGTTACAGCTATGTGAAACATTACTGTGAAACTTTAGGGGTGTAAACAGATGACCAAACGCTAATTATCACATCATCAAATGTAAGCTGGGTTTTGGCTTCGCTTGAGCCTAAGCTAGGGCAATATAGGTGGACATGGTTGTAGTGTTTGTAAGCTATTTTTTTTTGTTCTGGATTTACCTGTTCTTTTTACTACTAAGAACTGTTTTTATTGGTTTTGACATAATAGTGATGTGTTTTAAACTGATCGACCTAGCAAAAAATAGTCCTCAAAGTTTAGCCTTACACATGTCATTAAACTGTGAAAATCACTTCCTCATGGGCTACAATTGATCAGTAAATGTATTCCTGCTATCATTTGAAGCTTAATAGAGGGATATCTGTGAACAGCGGAATAATAAGAAAGCATGATGGGTGTCAGGCTAATACGCTCCCCGCTTTCTCTCCATGGAAGTGTTATGGTATTATAGAAAAACAGAAGAAAGTACACAAAAGGCTCCACACTTCCGGCTGTGACTTTCAAAAGCATGGAAATGAGCCGGGAAAAACAGCCTGGGCTCTGAGTGACAAATCAAATGACGGGCTGCCGGTGAATTAAAACACACCGAGTTACAAAGTGCAGCCTGCAAACGCAAGCCTGCCAAGATGCCTTTTTTCATCATTGTGCTGCCCTCTACGGGTCTTCTTCCAGCCTCCCTCTCTCCCCCCTCCCACTCCCCACATCCTCCACATTACCATACCCCCTTAAAGAGTATTGCGCGCATTAAATTGCTTTTCATTTCCGCGCTGTGACAGTCCCGAGATTGTGGGATTTATGCGTTTTTACGAGTGATCCTCGCTGTCATACTGTGGTAATTGTTTCATAATATGCCCATCGCTGTAGGGGATGCGCTGGTTTGCACCAACCGAGATCAACTTCCACTAGTTGAAACGTTGGTGGGAAGATAAAGATAGGATATCTTATGGCAAATGCAGGAGTGGAAGAAAAGGGGGATCGGATTCGTGCGTTTTTTGCCACGCTCTGGAGGAACATATCCACATATTCAGTGATCTTCGCTCCATTTGGACGCTCCATGCGATTGAAATAAAGAGAGACCTTGGGCAGATCTATACATAAACTGGTACAAGCCGCACCACTGGCAGCAGACAAGGGGATTCGTGCCTCTCTCCTCCGCTTCGCCAGTGCGCATGGATGAAAGTCACAGTTAAAATGCATGCGGCAAGAAGTCCTGTCTGATGTGGGATTACTGAGTTTTATTCGCCCTTTTTTTTCTCTCTTCACCATGTTCCAACTTTGGTTTTGGCTCTTTTTCCGAGATGATGCTGCTAATTTCGGTCACTGCCGCTGCTGCTGCTGGAAGAATACAGGATCCCGCTTCTTTGCCGCGCTGGCTGGCACGATATTGGCCTGAATGTGACTGTATATGTGCTCTCTGAACGCCTGGTTTATGGAGCTAAACACCGAGGAGACTTGACTTTAAGGATTTTTTTCTTTTTCTTTTTTCTGACAGCCGACGGAAGGGCGGGCTGTGAAATCCATGTTTTCTGAGAGAAAGGAAGGCGCACAGCCGTGATTTTCGGGATGCTTTGGCGTTTACCGGGATCAGCACGGTAAGAGGACAGTCTCTTTTTCTGGCTCTCTCTCATAACATTTCGGTTGGGGATCTGTCCGTGGTGCTGAAAATCTCTCTTTGCCCCCCTTTTTTTTCCACTTGCATTGCTGAAGTTGATCCGGATTTGCGATGCTGTTAAGCAAGGTGTCTGCGCATAAGCATAGAGGCTGCATTTTGTATGCTCACGTTTATCACCACAGTTTTTATTCGTTCCAAATAATCCCCCCCTCGCTTCGCGCAAGCGGAGATAGGCGCACAAGTTATCCGTTTTATTTCCACGGGCGAGGGGGGCATTTCTCGAGGTTATGGTAATAAACTCAAATGTAAGAAAGGAGGGGGAAGGAAATGGGATGAAAGTACGCGCACTGCTTAGGACACATCCAGCGTGCAGAAGGAGCTTGCCCCCCTTGTATGTTAAAAATGCGCATACTTGGGCAGATTTACTCGTCTGATGTGTAGGCTTTTGTGTTCTTTTATGGAGCGCACACAGACTGAATTTGTGTGCGAGTGTGTGTGTGTGGGTCCGTGCACGCGCGATCACGCGTCTGTGCCGGGGAGAGGAGGGGAAACGAGAAAGAGGGAGAGAGAGAGAGAGAGGGAGACTATCTGTAACCTTCTATATAGCAGATGCCTTACAGAATACTTGATTATAGAATTATTTACCCCCCCGTCAAAATGCTATTTCGATCAGAGATGCGCCATGAGATCGTCGATACTTGCTTATTCGCCTTTGATCAACTCCTCTCATTTCTTTTTTTCGCCCGTGGGCAGAAGAAGGGCTGCGACTGTCGCCTTGTAGGCTGATATTCACATTTTCCAAACGCAGGCCGGATTTTAACATGATCGCGGAGTGATTCTGCTTCTTTTTTTAAGAACAAAAAAATCCCAGGATTGTTTGGATCATAACAGGCGCATTCAATCCCCCCCTCGTCCTCATGTTGTTTGCACGGAGGCGGAGAGAAAGGATCCGGCAGTTTCCCCAAGTCGTCGGGTATGCGGGGTGAGTGAGAGGAATAATCTTTTCTGCTTCGGAGATAGGAGTTGCATCTTGGTGGTTTTAGTTTGGAGACGGGTGAAAAAGACGAACAAGACGCCTTTTTATAGCGTATAACGCGACGAGGCATGTGCTATTTTGACAGTGCGCCTTTATATGTGGTCAATCTCAATGGATCGAATTAGTAAATGACCAGATCTATCAGTCTGCACACGGTAGATGGCGGTGGCTTTTTCTCTCCCCCCCTTCTCTCTCCCTCCCAAGATGGATTGGAATTCAGGCGAGCTATCAAAAATGCGCAGTGGCCATCCACCGCGGGTAGTTGTGTTATCAACTTGCTTTATATCATTTAACAAAGTCTGCATTTTGCTTCAGATTCATCCTGGTTGCTTGTTTTGTGGAGACCCAAAATGATGCCGACATACATCTGCATAATGAGAGAGCATTAATAGGCCTACTTGTCTCTGCCTCTGTGTGTATGTGTGTGTTTGTTGTGAATGTCTCCTGCATACTTCTTCATCAGAAAGGGGTCGCCTCTTATGCATGCATTTTGTGATTCCTGCACTACTCTTTGCATTTCTATAAAACAGAACTCGTCCTTTTTCTTTTCCCTCCTTCTAGATGACACCTCATACTGGTACCGCACTTGAGTGAGCTGGGGCATCCTCTCCCAGGAAAAATGCATATCTGGATCCTAAAAATAATCCTTCTGATTGCATCATCTCTGAGGCTGGTCGAGATGTATGACAATTATGGGGAGATCTGTCGAAACCTGTGTACGTGCGAGGAGAAGGAAGGGATCCTGACGGTGAGCTGCGAGAACCGGGGGATCATCCGACTCACGGAGGTCAGCCCGGTGCATTTCTCCATGTACCACCTCCTGCTGACGGGGAACCTCCTCAAGAAGTTGTCAGTCAATGATTTCATCAATTACACCGGGGTGACCATCCTGCACTTGGGGAACAATGACATCTCAGAGGTAGAGTCAGGTGCCTTCAACGGACTCCAGGGATTAAAAAGGTTGCACCTGAACAACAATAAGATTGAGGTTTTGAGGGATGACACCTTTACAGGACTGGAGAGTTTGGAATATCTCCAGATTGATTATAACTACATCACCAATATAGAGCCCAACGCCTTGAGCAAACTCCACCAGCTGACCGTGCTGATTTTGAACGACAACCTGCTCTCAATCATGCCCCTGAATATCTTTCGGAATGTCCCCCTTACGCACTTGGACCTGAGGGGGAACCGGTTAAAAATGTTCCCCTACATCGGCCTCCTGGAGCACATGGATAAAGTTGTGGAATTACAGCTGGAGGAAAACCCCTGGAACTGCTCCTGCGAGCTCATCGCTCTGAAGGCTTGGCTGGAGAGTATTGCCTACACAGCACTCGTAGGGGAGGTGGTGTGCGAGACGCCGTTCAGGCTCCACGGTAGGGACCTGGATGAGGTGTCCAAACAGGAACTCTGTCCCAGAAGACCCCTGGAGGAGACAGTGAGGCCTGCGCCCCCAAGCAGCACGAATGGATACTACCAGACCACGCCTGCTGCTGTCACAGCCTCTGCAACCTCATCGGCTGTATTTAGGTCCTCCTCTAGGCCTACCAAGGGCACAAGGCAATTCAACAGAACTAGGTTAAAGCCCACTTCCCGCATACCTGGTGGTAACCCTTACAATTATGGCCAAATTATTACTTTTCAGACCAAATCTCCTGTGCCTTTGGACTGTCCCACTGCCTGCACTTGTAACCTGCAGATATCTGAAATTGGGCTTAACGTCAACTGTCAAGAGAGGAAGATTGAGAGTATTTCTGATCTAAAACCCAAGCCATACAATCCTAAAAAGATGTATCTCACTGGAAATTACATCCCTGTGGTACGGAGATCAGATTTTGTTGATGCCACCGGATTGGATTTGCTTCACTTGGGAAACAACAGGATAAGTCTGATCCACGACCGGGCTTTTGGGGATTTAACCAACCTGCGTAGGCTGTATTTAAATGGTAATCTCATGGACAGGCTTACAGGAGAGATGTTTTTTGGTTTGCAGAACCTGCAGTATCTTTATTTAGAGTATAACAAAATCAAGGAGGTTGAAGCGGGCACTTTCCGCTACCTCCCTCATCTCCAGCTGCTTTTCCTTAACAATAACCTCCTGAAAACCTTACCCGTGGGCATCTTTTCCAGCCTCTCCTTATCTAGGCTCAACCTGCGCAACAACCATTTCCAAAACCTGCCTGTGAGCGGTGTTCTGGACCAGCTGAAGCTGCTGGTGCAGATAGATCTCTTTGAAAACCCTTGGGACTGTTCTTGCGACATCGTTGGGATGAAGATCTGGCTGGAGCAGCTCACCGCAGGGACCGTCGTGAACGAGGTCATCTGCGAGACTCCCAGACGCCACACTGGAATGGACGTGCGCTCCGTCCAGTCAGAGCAGCTCTGCCCGGACTACTCGGACGCCTACGTCTCACCGACTCTCCCGACGGAGGAGCCGATGGACGACCGGGTCGTCACCACCAACGCACCGCAGAAGGTCGACACGCCAAGCAGCACCGTCCCCCTCTCTGTCCTCATCCTCAGCCTCTTGCTTGTTTTCATCATGTCTGTATTCGTGGCGGCCGGGCTCTTTGTTGTCGTCATGAAAAAGCGCAAAAAATCTCAAAGTGACCGCACTAGCACCAACAACTCTGACGTCAGCTCTTTCAACTTGCAGTACAGCCTCTACAGCAACCGCTCAGGCCCCAAAGTGAAGGCCCCAGCCGGTCACGTCTATGAGTACATCCCCCACCCAATGGGTCACATGTGTAAAAACCCCATTTACAGGTCACGAGAGGGGAACACAGTTGAGGATTACCGTGACCTCCATGAGCTGAAAGTCACTTACAGGAGTACCCCTGAGGAGGAGAGGGATAGCAGTACGATGAGGAGCCCTGCGTACAGTGTTAGCACCATTGAGCCACGTGAAAACCCCTCCCCCGTGCAGGATGCCGACCATTTCTTTAGGGGCATCCTTGAGCCGGATAAGCAGCCCCCTCACCCGTCAATGGCATCCATTCCTGCAGGTGCCAATTTAGAGTACAAGTACACAGGGCCTGTGTCGTACACGTACAACCCAAATTTTGATGTCAGACGTCAGTTCTTGCACCCGGAGAGGATAAGAGAAACGGTGCTCTATGGCACAGCACCCAGTACTGTTTATGTGGAGCCCAACAGGAATGAGTATTTGGAGCTAAAAGCTAAACTCCAGTCTGAGCCCGATTACCTCGAAGTTCTTGAGAAACAGACCACCTTTAGCCAGTTCTGAGCAGCAGAGTCTAATGAAGCATTTTCTCTCTTGACCCTCCTTGAGACACTGGCTCAGTTTTTAGGGTGCCTTGGCACGACACAAACAAGCAAAAGCAAAAGGAGTTGAAACGGGGTGTGCCGAACAATCTTATTCTTATTTCTGAAACATGACATTACAGGAATGGATACAGCTTTCTGAAACATGGATGAACAAAATTGCTCTACTTAACTGATGATGCAAAATCTATTTTTCTATGGTGAAGATCGAATAACACACAAAAATGTAAGTGTACAGGTAAATCTTACCCAACTTTCATTTTCAGGAATATAACCATACATAAGGTATATTGTGAATCAGAAAAAGAAATGTTTATAAGAGTCACTCCTGGACAAAAACACTGTACAGCAGATCATCAAAACTGTGTAGGACTATTTTCTGCTGTAGTCTGTAAGTAAGTATTTATTGATATAATCTGCCATGTCTTTTCAAAACTTTTGATTCTACATCAATATTACCTGTGTCATCATACTCCATGATCCTCTGGAAAGGCTTATGTTTGTAGTTTCATTTACTGTAGCTCTGCATTGTAAAAGTGGCTTTTTTTGAGAGTGGCACACCCCCAATGTTCAAAAAAGACTGCGTCATTTGAAGAAGATGAAAAAAAAAAAAAAGTGTCTTTGTATGCTTTCTGCACTTTTTGGAATTGGAAGGCGAGTTAGCCTTCGATGAGCTCTCATAAAGGAGATTATTATATTAAAAATGAATATGGGTATTCATTCTTAATATGTAGAATTGATATGTTATCAAACAAAACCCAGAAAAGATGATATTTGAAGTATAAATTCTGTTGTGTAATACTGATATTTTAATCAATGTAACACCTATTTTTATACGAGCATTCGCAGATTCTCTATCCCTTATTAATTTTCATTTGTTTTGATTGCTTTGCACTTATTGCACTATATTGACCAAACTATGTTATTGTCATCAAATAAACATGATGTCAGGTTCATATAATGTGCTTATGAGGAAGGTTGGCTGAAAATCATATGAATGGGGGTTGATCTAATATCTGCATTTAGACACACCTAAAGAGCCCCTGAAGTCCCCAAACTATTCTGTATTGTGTGCGCAAGATATTAACTTCCGCGCCCAAATAAACAAACGTGTGTAAAATTCAATTCTCTTGGATAATCATACTATGGGGGTGTGCAAAGGATACTTGTTTTGTTGCATACATGATAACTCTGTGTGCAAAAGATAAAATCTCGTTCCCATAAGATAATTACATTAACAAACAAGATCTTATCTGGCCCACACATGACACAAACTTTTAGGCCTGAGGCGCATGTTCAAACAAGATAGTTGCACAGTGCACACAAAAACCACTTTACAAGAAAATATCTTGCACGTGCGATGTAATTAATTCACATGGACAACTTAATCTTGTTCTCGCAAGATATCCAGAAGTGCAAATGATTCTTATTTTGTGTGCAGTGTGTGCTAGGTTGTGTAAACAACATAAATTCTTGTCCTTACGAGATAAGTTTGTTTTGTGCACACATCATTATCTTGTGTTCATGTTCTAGTGTGTGCACAAGATAACGTGTGCACAAACCTCTTGTTCGTACAATGTGATTACACAGTGCAAACAAGATAATCAACTTCTAATAATCATGTATCTTGCACATACAAGTTATAATCTTGTATGCACAAAATAATCCAACTGTAGTTAAAACTATTCTTTGCAAGAGAACTTTTTGTTTAGCTGGGCACACAAGTTATTAGCTTGTCTGTGCAAGATATTAACTTGTGAGAGCAAGATTGCAAGAGTCGTGTTCACAAGATAACTTGTTCTGCAGGATAGTAACATAAAGCACACAAGTTTATAACTTGTTCCCACAAGATTATACTGTGCAATCAAGATATTTACTGTTTCACACAGGACATAACTTGTGCAGATAATCAGATTATTATTCATTTGAAGAAGTAATTATCTTGTGTGAACAAGATGACTTAATATCTTAATCACATGAAAATAGTCAGATTATGCCTGCGACTTATTTTCCTATATCCAACACAAGATAATCAGCTGTGCACTCAAGATGATTAGTTTGTTCCCATGGGGTGAGAACTTGTTTTCACAAAAGTACATCATGTACTTTAAAGAAAATTGATCCGTCAAAGTTTACATCTTGCGCACACAGTACAAAAAAATGTACTTTTTGGGACTTCACAGGCCCCATAGAAAGGAGTGGTAGCTATGTTTGGAAATATGTGCTTGAATTAAGAGTTTAATGTTGAAAAGTTACTTCATTTTCCAATCAAATGATAAGAAAAGCCTTTTATTGTGAAGGGAGAGAAGATTAAGATACAGTGTGTATGCCTCGCTAAAAGGGGCAGCCAGTGTCTCAGTGAGGATTACAATCAATGGGCTTCAATCAATGAGTATTATCCGAGGCTGTCCCTTTGCAATTATACCATGCAACCACATATGCTGCCTGGCAAGCAATGACTTGGTCATTTATACGAGCATCATTAGAGCTGACTTGCAATTAAATGCTATTTTAGCAATATGACAGAGTCAATGGGTGTGAACTTTGACAATGATTAAGACGTACAGCTTCTGGATGCATGAACTGGCGTCTTCGCCATTTCTTATTTCTTCACTTTTAATTGGATTGTTTCATAAGTGAACTTCTTTTGGATCTCTTTACTTAAAAAAATACATATCATGAAAATACAATGACAAATCTGCTTGTTTTTCTTACATCTAAAGCATTTATTGTGATTTTTATTCCAAGTCCAATCAAAAGTACATCCCTCTCTTTTGGCGAAGACTACCCGCCGAGGTTTTTTTTTTAAGGGTATTGTTAAGGTCGTTTACAGGAAGAGAATGGGTCTTTTGGAAGGTATCACAAATGTTGGCTGGAGGGGCGTGTCAATGTCTGTTTGATTGACAGCAGCTGGCTGCCTGCCGGAGCAATTGTGTTCCACCTTAGGGGAGAGAGACGGAGTAAACAAACTTGTGCGGCTGTCTGCACATCATGGGCAGATAACATGCTGTTCATGGCATTGAAAAATGAGGGCCTCACCAACGTTTGAGTGAAACTGCAGCTATGGTTACCTGGTGCTAAATGCGCTGCAGCTGAGCAGCTAATTAGCTATCTTCACTGCAAATTTGAGCAAGCAGTGCAGCGTTTTTCACCTCAAACAGCTAAGGTGGAAGATTTAGACTGTGTTGGATGCTGCTCTGTGGCTCATTTAGGGTGTTTTTACTGTGTTGAAATACATGTTTTAGGGGTTTTCTGCCAAGTTAGAGCAAAACTAAGAGGCAAAATAAAAGAAAAAATCCTCATTTTGTTTTCCTTTTTTTCTCATGAGAGGACATGGAAGCGTTTTTTAAGCTGATATGTAAGCCGAGGCAAACAAAGGCAGTGCAATTTAATTCTGTATGGGCTTTAAGTTCCTCTTCAATTGACCCACTTAGATCCAATATGCAAAGTAGGCCTATAAAAATGCAAAGGATGCACTGTGCCACCATTTTCAGTGCGCGATGAGCATCACAATTTAGGAATTCAGTGTTCCCTAACTGAGACAGGCAGGGATCTCTCCAGAGAGTGTGAAAAAAAAAGCCTTGTCAGACACCTTAATCAGTCCCTCTTTTTTCCTAATTCAGGGGAATTATAAGATTTTATTATCACAGCTCCAAAACACAACAGTAGGTATTTTTCTGTGAGCAAAAAAGAAGTCATTTTCAGTCATTTTTTTGTGCGCGGATTCGACGGGGTGCCAGCTGCCTTTTCTCAATGACAAAAAAAGAAGGGAAAATGAAACGGGGGGCCTGCGCAGGGCCCTCCTTTTGTTGGATCTTTTCATAGAAGCCCCAGAATGAGAACAGAAGGCACCATTTGGGAGATGAGGAGTCCTGGAAGCGAGTGTAACTGTGGATGTGTCATACATGTAGCAGGGGATGTGAATCATAGCCAAGAAGTGTGTGTGTGTGTTTGTGCGGAGTGCGCTCGCCCAGCTTCGGTGGCCTATGGGATGGCGGTGTGACAGGTTTTGACATGGTGGAGAAAGGGAAAATGATCATTTTTTGAGCTGCAGAAAGAAAGTGTTTTAAACCAATGAATGTGAAAACTGTGTAACCCTGATTCCCAGAAGGCTTGGTACATTGTGTCAAATGTTGACAAAGAGAGATTTGGACGGTTTGCAAATCGTTTTATCCCTTCATTAAATTGAAAATAGTGAAAAGAGCAGGGTTTTGAATATTGGAACTAAATGTGCCTAATGTTTTTTTTTTAATCAGCGGTGAGTTAATAGTAAAGGCAGATCAGTCTATCACCTGGACTCTTCTACAATGTTCCCACGTCGATGTTGCTTGATGTGTAAATTTGCTATACAGTGGACATTTAACTTGGCATGTTGTGCTTTTTTGTGGATACAGCAACAAACTATGCTTACAGATAGATGATTTTGAGTCCATGCAGTGATTTCCACTACAGAGACGTCTTTTCTTACACTTTTTCAACCTTTTTTGAATCTTGAAATCATATTTTGTACTTTAGAGGATAAAACACCCTTTTTTTTCAGTTTGTTTTTTAAAATTGTAAAAATACAGCCTCTGACAAAACCATGAAGCTCTCCCCATCTCTACACCTGAGAGACTTGGCCTCCTTGATACCCAGTTATGTGACTAACCTGTTACAAATCAGCCTAATCTGTTAAGAGCACGTTTTGTTTTTTTGTTCAATTTTTCCACATTTCATGAATTTTTTCAGTTTTTTTGTTGCCCCCGTCCCAAAATTTCGCAATATCTGCTGGAATCAAAATTTTAAAAATGAGCTTACATTTTCAGAAAGCAATCAAAAGCTTTAATTCCAACATTCGGTATGTTGTCTCTGCACCATTTTCGAAGGCAGAAAGGTCTATTACCTGGACTCGTTGTTGCCACGTCGATGTTGCTTGATGTATAAATTTGCTATACAATGGACATTTAACTTGGTATGTTGTGCTTTTTTGTGGATACAGCAACAAACTTTGCTCACAGATAGATGATTTTGAGTCCATGCAGTGATTTCCACTACAGAGACATGTCTTTTCTTACACTTTTTCAACCTCTTCTTTTTGTTTTACAGAGATTTTTAAGACTTGAAATCACATTTTTTACAGTAGAGCAGTGGTTCTCAAGTCCAGTCCTGGAGGCCCACTATCCTGCATGTTTTGGATGTTTCCCTGCTCCAACACACCTGATTCAAATGATCAGCTCGTTATCAAGCTCTGTAATGTCTTGATAACGAGCTAATCATTTGAATCAGGTGTGTTGGAGCAGGGAAACATCCAAAACATGCAGGACAGTGGACCTTGAGGACTGGACTTGAGAACCACTGCTTTAGAGGATAAAAAAAAACAATTTTTTTGCAGTTTGTTTTTTAAAATTATAAATACATGGTCTCTTACAAAACTATGAACCTCTCCCTATCTCTACACCTGAGAGACTTGGCCTCCCTCATACCCAGTTATGTTATTAACCTGCAGAGCCGGCCCAAGCCTCAATGGGGCCCCTTAGCAAAATTTGCTTTTTGGGGCCCTCTATTTCTGCCAATAATATTGATTGTTGATCATTTACACACCTTCACAAATCTCTTAGATTAACATTCCATAACATGCAAATATAACTTTATCTTGGCATTTTTTTCTCGTCTTCCTCTTTCTTTTCTCACTCCATCAGCATCAGCAGCAGCACTAAAATGTTTTTACTTTATTTTATTTTTACAATAATACATATTTGATAATACAGAAAGCATCACTCATACATGCAAAAAATAAAAAAAATATTAGTATTATTATTATCATTTTTTGATTGCTCTTGGGGGCCCCCTACTTGCTGTGGGGCCCTAAGCAGGCGCTTAGTTCGCTTATGCCTTGGGCCGGCTCTGCTAACCTGTTACAAATCAGCCTAATCTGTTAAGAGCTGTTCCTTGAAGCACATGTTTTGTTGTGTAATTTTTCCACATTTTATAAATTTTTCTTTTTTTTAATTGCCTCGTTCCAAAATTTCACAATTCCAACATTCGGTATGTTGTCTCTGCACCATTTTCGATGAAATGTGAGTTTAAAACGATTTGCAAATGATTAATCTGTTTTTATGCATCTGTGTTCTCAATTTAAACCTGTGCGATGAGTTTAATGCTAAAAAAATGATGACTATCCACTGCAGCTGTCATGCTTTTGTTTAATTCCTCTCATATTTCCTAGACTATCATGTCTTTCAGGATGATTTGGCTAATTCACAGAACTCCAGAGAGAGAGAGAGAGAGAAAAACTGATTGGGCACAATTACATAATCACTGAATCATGCATTCCAAATGGGCCTGTTGTTACTGTATGCATATGTGTGTGTGTGTGTGCATAAGCGTGTGTGTACAAATGTGTACGTTTGTGTGTACGCACATGCCTCCTACCCAAACTCCCAGTGTGGAGGTTTTATCACCCTTATGACCCAGCGCTGTGTCCCAAAGTAATGGGTGCATGAAGCATCGCACTGCAGGAGGAGGAGAGAAAGAGAGGGAGGGGGAGGAAAGGAGGGAAGGAGGGAGGACTCTTGCCAGTTGAAATAATGCTTTTAATCAGCCAATGGGCTCTTTGGGTCTTAACACAAATGGAAGCATCAAGGAAGGGCAAAGAGTTTATTATGTCTTCCTAGATTATTCCATTTATAGCCTCTCATATGCTTTGTGTGTGTGTGTGTGTGTGTGTGTGTGCCGCTCGCTTATGCTCACTCAGTCTGCAGTAAGAACTGTTTAAAACCTCCTCAAATGAAGACTTTCTGCAGTGGTCAACATCTGTATTCGGTGAAGGAAGAAGGAGCTCAGTTGAAATATCAGGATATGTGTTGCATCATGCTTCACAAGAGCCCCCCTGATTTATGGCTAAACCTATTGTGCCGGATCCGATGTGCAGCTGACGCAACTCAAAGCTCAATGTACGTGCAGATCTAGCTGTCACAAGTCTCACTCTTTGCAGAATACGTGCTGAAAGAATAAAAAAAAAAAGAAAGTGTTGAAGTTTTCCGGCTCTAAAGAACACATATATTCGAACTTCTTTCACATAAAAAGCAAAAAAAAAAAAAAAAGGGGAGACAGTGATGGACAGTTTGGGATCCAATATTCTTTTACCCTTTCTGCTTTTCACACCATTTGAGAGTAAATCAATGTGGAACGGTACAGCGCGTGAAACTCGTCCAAGCTGCAGGAAGTGTTGGCTCATCACTAGGCTATTTTCAGTTCGCTGAGTTTAACTTGGAGGGGAACTACTTTCCGACGTAGAGCTGAAAATACAGGGCTAATTAAACTTCTTCTGGTAGCGATTTGGCAGCTATTTGCTACAAATGGCTTTTCATCACTTATCAGATGGCGTTGGCAGAATTGGAGCGTTTATGGTAAACAAAATCAGCTTGGTGCTACAAATGAGCAGGGCTGGATTGAAACATAATAAGGCCCTAGGGCAGGAAATTGGCTGCGGGCCCCTATCACCCACCTTTTTGACCTGTTTCAGCTTTTATGTTAACTTACACATTTTTAGGGGGTATTATAACTAAAGAATCACATCTTTAAGGATTTCCCTTGTATAACAAATGATGTTTGTTGCCTGTTTTTCGGGTTTTGTCATGACTTTTTGGTGTGCATTAGCAGAATAATATGCATTATAGTTCTGTTTTGATTTTAAATTTTGATTGTAATTATAAAAATGCCTTTTTTCAGCCTCTCGCACCCCTGGAGGTCTCGATTTCTTGTGCGAATCCGTTAATCCATTTTTACTTCTGTGTGGGTTTTTTTTTTTGTTAACTTTAGTTTATTTGGTTTCAATCAGTGTAAACTGAAATTAAAAAGTCAGTCTGCTACAAAAAAGGCCATTTAAATCCTTGAGGTTAAAAAAGAAAATGTGTGAATACATTTTTTTAATCGCTTATCAGGTGTTGACCAAATTTGGTATAAGAATAGGTTAACTGGGAACAGACAACACAAATTAAAATGTAGTTTTTCATGCTAACTAACTTGGAGAAAGCAATTTTTCTTTGTTGTGGTGAAAATGTCTTAACAAGTCTGGTGTTTCTAGAAAATAATCTCAAGTGTACAATGCCAGATTGAACTATTCAGAGGCCCTAGGGCAAAACCAAGCTCTGTTTTTTTTCCTTTTTCTTTTCAATATATCCTGTAACATCATGTCACAATTTGGAATTTATGCTGCTGAGTTCTTTGTGGTGGTTTGATAAGTCCAGGTATTAGCCAGGGATGATAAAACATGACGTTGAATTTGGATTTTTCAGGCTGAGATCATTTTTATTGTAATGAATGTAACAAACCCTTGACTAATTTCCAATCTAACCAAGATTTTAAAAGTCTAAATTGTTTGCCAATTTGTTAATCCATTTTTGCTACGCACATCCTCTTGTCTCAAGGATGGTTTGACAAGTTGAGGGTTGTTAAAAGTGTTAAAATATTAAGCTTCTGTGACCCCTATTGGGGTGTATGCTAAAAAGCCATACATTTACCCTGAATGACAACTTTCCAACCTGATCTCCAATCTGTTGGTCTTTAACACGCCTACAGTTCGGACTCATATGCCAACCCATCCTTGCGCCTACTTGTGTTGCGTTCACTGACTGGTTTGACAAGCTAGGGGTCATTGATGCTGTCATGTCTTGTTCATGTCTTGGGAAATGCCAGTGCCAATTAAAACTGAGTGATACACATGGCAACCAATTTGCTAGAATTAGCCAAAAGGCTATTTTCATCTGTGGTCACTGACCTGATGGTCAAGGCGCTATACTGGGCCATCCAAATTAAAGCGTACTGTTTGTAAAATAGCTATTAAAAAGCTGTTCTGATGTGCATAATTTATAAGATTTCATTGTCACTGTCATCGTTTCTCTTGTTTCCTTCTCTGGTTTTGATTTACACAAAGTTGATATTTTGGAAAATTTTTTGGATTGCCTGTGGAGCTTGAAAGTCTAAAACTGTTCACTTCCAGTCTATGTCTTGAATTTCTATGTTAATAGTCTTATTGGGATACAACAAGTGGTAAAAGTGGTTTAGGACTGTTTTGAATGGTCATTTGTGTAATAGTTATCATGTTGGGCCAAACTTAACCATCTGATTGACATAGCTTGCGAATATGGCCTTCCCTACCCTGTACTCTTGGTTTCCCTCATTTGCTCCGTACCACCCAGCATGCCAACGATATGCAGAAACAATAATTAAGCTAATACCAGGCCACCTTGTGTATACTGAGACAGATAGAGGGGGTGGACACATTCCATATGCTCGAGCGATGCCTCGCCTACCCCCCGCCGGAGCCTCTCGTCCTCGGCTCAGCCTCACTGCTCGCCTGTCCCAGTCCCTACGATGATGTGAGCAATTGAGTTCAAGGAGATCTGGGTAATTGAGAGGGCAGGGATGGCATCTGACAGGCACCGATGGCTCCAATGATTACTTTAATCAGAGTGGTTAATGGAATTCCTTCAGGCATGTAGAAATGCTCAAATGTTCATCAGCACTCAGGCAGTTTTTTTACCCACACCGACACCTCCTCTCTTACCCCATGTTGCTTTAATTACTGATCAGTTTTCTACCCTTTTTAATGCATCCTCTTCTGCATCCAGTTATTTGCGTGCTCTTCTTTGTTCTACTATATGAGGGGCTTTTATTGTTATGTGGAGAAAATGAATTATGTATGAAGTGTTTTTGTACATGCAATGTCACCTGTAAGCATATAAAGAGAGGGTCAAGGACTCACTCTCGTAAAATTGGTTTTAAACCAAGCTTGTCCCCACATAAACATAAAGAAGCAAAGGTTTACGAGTAATGAGAGTACATCTGGTTATATGTTTGGTTTTAATTTACCCTGAGTATTTATCATGACAGCAGCTATTAGCTTCTGCAGCCCTCATATCTGTTTTCGTCATTTGTTCCCAAACTTTAAATGCAATTTCAACTGTGAACTTTCTAATGAGTCTCAGTTAACACTCCCACTGTCCAGCCTGTGCTGAATTGACTTCAAGACATTTAAAAGCACAGTCTGTATCCAGACTCTAATGCCATCTGCCGTATTAACATGCCTTCTCTGGCTGGCTGACTTTTTATTCTGTTTGTTTAAAGTCTGAGGACATTTTTTTCCCTCTTGTGGCACAGATGTTGGCATGATTTTACAACCCTAATTCCAAAAAATGTTTGGCGGCGCTGTAAAATGTTAATAAAACCAGAATTTGATGGTTTGCAAATCATTAAAACTCAATTTTTCATCGAAAGTGGTTCAAGAGCAGCATATCAAAAGATACACACTAAATCACAACAATGCAATGCTTGATGAATATAGATGCTCACTGCAGCAAGGCCAGTCTGACTCTCCTCCTAAAGAATCACGCTTTTGTAATTCATCCAGAATGTGGTTTGGCAATGTGTTGCTGGAAAGGTCTTTGCTGAAGAAAGCAATGCCCGCATGGCAGCATATGTTGCTCTAAAACCTGTACGGTGCCTTTCATTACACGTGAGCCAACCATCCCAAAACCTTTATGGTAGCTGGCTTTTAAACTGGGTCCTCTGAATGTCAAGCTGTCCATGATTTCCAAAAAGAATGTCAAATTCTCAAACATCAGTCCACGGGACAGATTTTCCACTGTGCCTCAGTCCATCTTGATTGGGACCATACATATGGAAGTTGTTTGCATTCTGGCTCATGTTTCTATATGGTTTCCTTATTTGCATGGTACAAATTTTAACTGTATACAGTGTTCAGAAAATGATTTTTTGATGGATTTTGAGTCCATGCAGCAACTTCCACATTAATGCTACTAAGAGAAGGTTTTTGTTGGTTGAGAAACAGACTAAAACTAGCGCAAATGCCTCTTTAGGAACTTTAAAAGCAAACGAGCATCAGCAACATGGCTGATAATTTCTCTTTTAGGGGGTAGATGCTAGACCGGATGATTGACAGCAGGTTTCGAAACAGCCTTTTAATACTTGAACCACCGCAAATACTCATAGTGATACATCAGACTATTAAAAGACAACAAGATGAGTTTTTGTCTGAAAAAAAAAATAGAACCACTTTAAATTAAGGTCCTAGTATTACAAGCATTCATTTATAATTGATACTACACTTATAAGACCTTATGAGATAACTCTAAATAATAAGTGTTAATTAGGATATATAAAAGGAAATAATTATTTTTGGGCGCATATAAGAAACCTGTTACAGTTTATTTACATGACATAGACATCAATAGGATGTTAGCATTAGTTAGACTCAAAATGGGTTAATTGAAGATTAATTTACAAATTTATAATAAACTACTAACACAGAAAACTTAGGAGAAATAACAGATAACATTAATTATAGTCCTATTAATGCCTTTAAATGTCTGATAAGCAATGATAAATGTTATTTATGCTTATTAACTCCAATTAGCATCTTTAAGCATTGGCTCTTTAGTACAAGATACCTACATTATATGAAGTGTTGCGTTAAAGACTGAGGTATCACTTTGTCCACAGGGGGCGCCAAAATTGACATATACCAAACGTTTCTGACAGGTGCTTTAAATAATGAACCTTGATGATTTGCAAACCATGTTTTAAGTAACATTTTCACACAGCATCTTTAAGTATGACTGAATAAGATTGTAATGAATTTCAGACTTCATCAAAGGATGAAAATGTGTGTGTCTGAATGTTGAAATTCTGTAAAATCTACATTTCGGTCATCCAATAGTTTTACATCCATAATGATCTTCTTGCAGGACTTTATAGTGTGTGTCATGTAAAAATGACAACAGCCTTTTTAAAATAGTACCTTGTCATTTTTAATTTTTTTTATCCCGTTGCCTTTTTTTCTCTTTCCCGCTTGTACTATCAGGCCTCCAGTTCTGTTTGTTTGTTTGTTTGTTTGTTTACGGCGGCTGCACCCGTTGATCCGGAGCCGCAGTAACCCTGTCGTTTGATAAATGGCAACCACAGCATTACTGACTCCCCAGCCGAGCCCGGTGACGCCTGGCCGAAAAAAAAAAAAAAAAGAACAACAGGTTGATGTATGGCTTCCTTCAAAGTGTCAAGTCATTTAACTTGAGTGCGTCCAGGCACAGGGGCGTCTATGTTTGGCCTGTGTGAATTTGGATTCCTGCCCCGTCCTGCCTTGCCTCATATGTGTCATCAAGCCAAAACACCACCAAATAGGTACATCAGAGGTCTGTGATGCAGGATAAATGTGTGTTTTGATTTCTCAAGTCAGGATGAATTTGTCATGCGAGCGCAAATGACAACTGTGGAATAAGGTCAAGTCAAGAAGCATCATTGTCAGGAGTAAAGACAAGCTAGCAGGGGACTTCCTTCCTTTCCTGTTTGAATGCCTTTTGGGACTTTTCAGATATTAAACCATTGTCAAAAACCAATACAGAGGACTAACTAGTGACAGATTGAATCTTAATCCTTCCCTCTGAGATCCATTCCCAGTTGGCTCATTCCCCATTATTCCTTTTTTTCCATGACCTTGTCAAGCATTTTTTTTCCGGTGAGATGATCTTTCCCTGTATTAACTGGTGCTTTGAGGAGAAGGGGACATTTTCAGTGGCTCCTATCTTTGAAAATTAATCACAGGGGAAAAAGATCAGTCCAGACAGTCCAATTGAAAGAGACTTTGATACAATTTGGGGATTTTTATTTATTTATTTATTATTATTATTATTATTATTATTATTATTATTATTATTATTATTATTATTATTATTATTATTATTATTAATAATAATAATAATAATAATAATAATAAATTAATTTATTTAATAGGTGTTGATGTTTATATTTAAGACATCACTTTAAAATATTTTGGGGACAAAGTTATTTTTATTTTTTTATAAAAAATTCAAGTAATGATATGCAAAAAAGAAATTATTTTGTTTTTGAAAGCTTCAATTTGAAATAGTTTGTTTCAAAATAAAGGCCCCGCCTCTGTAAAGGCAAATAGCCAATGATCAAACAAGATCTTAGGATTGCACTGGGGTGGCCAGGTTTCATGGGGGCAGTGCCACCTCCGGCCGCCCATTTAGACACACCCCTGAGGTCATACAGTACTTTTTAATACTTCAGTCAAAAAAATAACAAAATGAAGATAATAAGACGAATGTTGACAAATGTGTGTTAACTGAATATAACGTCTATTTCACAAATAAAGAGAAATCAAACTTAAGAAAAAGACAATTTTTACATTTCACCTTGTCTTTGTAACCTCGTTTTGCCAAATCGAAGCATATTGATCGCAAAATCTGAAATCAATGCAGAGCCACTTTGGTCCACTATGTTTAAGTGGGTTATTAAAGCAGTTATTTGTGATATTTCTGACTGTTATTGCTGTTATTTGGACCCTGTATTCACCTTATGTAAAGCTGTTCCACATACTCTGCATTCCTCCTCCTCCTATTGCTTCTCTGAATGCTTGTCTAAAGGAATCCAATGCACTGTGCAGCATTGTGCGCATCACGAAGGTTTACTCATTCTTCTTGGAAAAGAATATGTGTACGCTTTGTCTGGCTTGCAATTAGACACTCTTTTGTTACTGGCTGAATTGGCCTCTCTGGAAGTGTGTGTGTGTTTCCAAGAGTAATTGTTTGAAAGACGAAGATAAGGCGTGTTTTTTTGCGGGTGGGTTTGCGCACATCTTTGTTGGTTCGTCCTCTGCAGAGCACTGACACAAATGTACTTTAACAAGGTCTCTGATTTACAGTAAAACTCCAATCGTTAGCTCGTTTTTTCTTCTTCTTTTCCTCCTCTTCTCTTTTCCCCTATTTTTGTTGCTATCACCTCGGTTTCTCAGATTGCAGCGAAGGAGTCTGCAGAAACCGTGGGCCTCGCTAAAGGAATTAGAGTGCGCGCTGGGAGATCGCTCAGATAATGAAATGGTGGGAGGTAGAAAAACTCATTTTCTCACTTGTGAGAGAGGGAGACATACTAATGTGGCGATTGAAAAATGCACTGAATACTACTGACAAGGGAAAAAAAAAAAGCCAATTCCAAAATCCAGCGGTGGGATTTGATTTCAGCTCGCAAGATATGGACTTGCTAAAAGGATCAAGTTCGACGCGTGGTTTAACCAACCAAAATGGACTTGTTATGACGAGAGAAGTGTTGCTCCCCGGCTTTCCCTCCTCCCAGAATGCACCGAGTGACAGTGTGCTCGTGTTTGGACAACAGCATGGCTGAAGTTGGCAGCGTGTGGGCGTGCTTGTTAAAACCCGGCTCCAAGTGGAGGGGCTCTCAGAGCTCTTACAGCAGCGCTGACGTCAGATACTTGTGATATTCGTCGTGTTCGTGTACCTGCCAGTGTGAGTGTAGGCTGAATGTACACGGAGAAGAGAGAGCGAGACTTGTGTAATAAAATGCACGCTTTCCAAAACAGAGGGAAAGATGAAATGTGATGCAATGTGTGTTTGATATTTATTCCTGAGCACATTCGCTGGATAAAACTGTAAGTTATGAAGCGTGACTTATGCTGTGAAGGAAATTTTGCACCTTTTACACTCAGAAAATCTCCAAATGCGGACCACCCTTGGAGCGCATGAGGATAATTTGCTCATTAAACAACTGTTAATGACTACTGCAAGGTTTTTTACCGAGAACTTGGATACCATTGATGAAAAAAATAGACCTCCTTTTCATTCCTTCTTGACTTTCAGCTATTCATACCTTAATTTCACATCACTTTTCTTATGAATTGCAGCTCCACATCCATTAATGCGGTTTTACATTCAAAGAGGAAAACACAGTCATGCTTGTAAAACTATTTGTAAAACTATAAAACCTTGAAGCCTCAATGACTTTCTCTAACAATAAGATATACAGTATCGACAGAAATACATTCATGAGCACGTCCCTCACTGCCTTACGCTACTCTTGCAGCTTTGTTTGCAGTGATATGATTTGCACCACAAGAAAAATGTAAAGCGGCTTTAAAACACACGCAGCATAGCAGCGAACGTCTGACGTTTCATGTGTTTTCATTGTTTTGAAACAGGAAACAGTTGAATAGTGATTTGGTCCAAAGCTGAGGGAGTATTGGCTTGGAATTCATGACAAAAATCATCCATCAGGTACCAGATTTTTTAACATTTTCACAGCCCTCTCTTTGCACTTTTATTACACGTATAACAGCTTCCCCTGCAAACTTTGAGTACAGCTTTGGTGAGGGGATGTTTTCTGGAAATGTGATGGCATATTGGTGGATCTGCTGGTCTTTTGGACTGATTCTTTCAAAAGCCTCACATTTGTGTTCATTCTACCATATCAGAATCACTTTTTATTGGAAGAATAAGAATCGCGCATTACTTAGAGACCATTTCGTTTCTTATTTTGCTTTATTTATACAATTAATTGCTAATTCTTATTCAACCTTTTCACTGTGCGCCTCTATTTTAACCATATTTGTTTGCAACGCTGGAAATAATTGAAAAATTACATCTTTTTCCAAATGTGTTGATCTCCTACTGCACATCCAGTCAAAGCCGGTTTACAATCAGTTACATGCTTATCAAATGAGCCAATAAATATATATTTTTTTGTTGCAGTTTTACAAGCAGCTTCAATGCTAGATACCGATTAAAAGAGAATTTTCAGCATATTAAGTTTGACCTTCAGTCTGCTGCAGTCAAACCAAGCCATGGCCAGCTGAGAACAAACATGGCCGCTTCAAAACCTCGCAAATGTATTTACTGACATACAAAAGATGCTGTCTTTTCACACTTTAATATTATTAATAACAACTTTTCATGTGTTTAATTTTGTACAGTAATTAAGAATTTACAGAACGCAGAGATATTAGTGTGATTTACTGATGCATAGTCAACCTCAGCCGGTCATATCTTCTCATTTGCAACTTATTACCTCCGCCAAGGAGGTTATGTTTTCGGTAGCATTGGTTTTTTTGTTTGTTTGTCTGTTAGCAACTTTACGGAGAAAGTTACAGACAGATTGACCTGAAATTTTCACAAGAGGTGCTTCTCAGCCCCTGGAGGATCCCATTAAATTCTGGTGGTGATCCGGACAAAATTCTGGATACTGTGATCCAGAACACACAAAAATAAGGGTGTCGTTGGAATTTTCAATGCTGAAAAATAACCAATGGGCGGCACAGTGGTGTAGATAGGCGGCACAGTGGTGTAGTGGTTAGCACTCCCTGTTTTTTTGAACTACAGATTTGTTGACCCGTATGACATATCATTGGTGTATAGATGTGTGCATAAAATATGAAATGGTGAATATTGACATGAGATGTAAAAACACTTCCAATGGTGTGGTGATTAGAAGGACCAAATATAAGAGAAAGAGAAACTTCCATTATCTGACATTTAAAACACTTTTGATTCATTTTTTGGTAACGCTTTCTTTAACGGTACACTTATTACCAGGTAATTAACATGTAATTACCTAGTAACAACATTAAATTATCTGGTAATTACATGATAACTACTAAGTCAATACTGTCTAGTTTTTTTTTTTCTGTGCAGCTCCATTTTCAAAAGCTATTCGGGGTTCTTATTTTCTATGATTGACACTTGATACAGCCTATGAGCGTGCGAAGATTGCGTAGCGATACGTTTGAGCCGAGCATTATCACAGCGACTCACCCGCCTGAATGCGTACAACGCTAGTGCGCAAGTGGTGGTTCCAGGAAGTGGAGAAAATCCTGGAAATATCAGAGCAATTCGGCTTCAAATTTGTATGATGATGGAAGGTTACCTACCTGGTAGCTAGACAGTATTTACTTAGTAGTTATCATGTAATTACCAGATAATTTCATGTTGTTACTATGTAATTACCTGTTAATTACCTGGTAATAAGTGTACCGTAAAAAAAGCGTTACCCATTTTTTTTTTTTTACAATTTTAAGCAATTCTTATAAGGTGTCTTGATTTGAAAATCAAATTAATGTAATTGAATATCTCTAAATAATCTCAATTTTTGGATTAGTCCTTCACGTAAATCCTGCACTGCTACACCAGAGTGATCAAAAATCATGACTTACAGACAGAGGCAGCTACGAAGTTCTTTAGCCTGTAAATGATTTTCTTTCTTTATTCTCAAAATAAAAGTACTGCAGATTTAGACAAACGAAGGAGTGCATAAATAAAACATACAGTTTGTGTCATTATGAGATTTTTATGATGACTGAGTAGCATCCAGTGATTCCTGGTTAATGCACCAGCATTTGTTGTTTTCAGGAGTTCTACTTTTTCTAAAATTTTTTCTAAAAACTTAATTTCTAAAAATCTAAATCTTGTAAAATTCTACAGCATGACAGTCTAAAAACTTTGGCTTCTTGGCAGGATTTTTTAATATTCTTGGAGCTAAGGTCAGGATAGTTTATATGAGCCATATTAGAAATACCAAAACAGCTCTCACAGTCAATCTCAAAATAACCTTTTCAATCATGCTGCTTGATTCTTATATTTTTATCCAGCTTTCATCACCAGGAACACCTTTTTTTTTTCTGCACTTACATGCCTCCTCTCACACTTCAATAACCCGCACACAACCTCCTTGAATCCATTTTCCACAAATGCCTCTCAAACCAAAGCAGTTAATCTCCGGTATTTCCATCTTATCAAGATTCTAAATCCAGCAATTTTGCAATCACAACCCACCTTTTCCTGCTCTGCTTTC